AAGAAGTGTGTTGGAATCTTAGCTTCTTTTCTTGTATCTCAGCCTGATTTTGCTTGGACAGAGAGCAAGGGCAGCTTCATGTCCCTGAAGGAGGAGCTCATACTAGAGCCAGGGAGAAGGCACACAAGATAGCGTGGCCTGCTCCTGAACTCTGTGCGTGTTTTCTCCACAGAGACTCGTGTCTGGTACGCTGCTCACTGCCAGGAGGGGAGAGGCAAGTGACGCCAACCATTCAGCCTGGGTTGGTCTTCAACTGGGGCAGAACCCTGGAGCACCTTTCCCCCCTTGTTGGTCTCTGCCCACACAAATGACCACTACTCCTCTGTGAGAAAAAGAAAAAGCCACGTCTGCCCACCTGCTTCTCTCCTGGTGATTATCGAAAAAAATGTTCAAGAGTTTTATTGACTAGTACAACAGTTTCTAGTGCTCAGAGTATGGTTAAATCTTAAAAAACAAGAAAAATTTAAGAATAACTGAATTAAAAAATAAACAAAAACTAAGATAAAGTTTAAGGATATCCAGTTTATAAACTGGCTTCTAGGCTAACTAGTTTGTTCATCTTCCTGTTGATTCCAGAAATAAAAATTTCCAATGACATCCACCCCTTCCTGCACCCCATCCCCACCCCAATTCCTCACCCTTGGTCTACTGTCAGGAACGTTTTCCACCCCTTCCTGCACCCCATTCCTACCCTAATTCCTCACTCTTGGTCTATTGTCAGGAACGTTTTTCAGGAGCTACTGTAGCCGTGACGTAACTACAGCATATAGCAATGGATGGTTCAGATGTCAACCCACCCGAGAAATTCCTCTCAGATGGAGGCAGAGTCGGCAGGGCCCTGACTCTGAGAACTGCTGCTTTCGTCTGGAATTTGTTTGTACAATAACAGCTATGACAGCTCCCCACTCCCATGCATTTTCATGTAATGTGCACATGTAATCTCATGAATACATCTCAATCTTACGGACACACACATTTCGGGGTGATCAAAAGGATGACTTCTCTCTACACTGTGTTCTCCATATCACGGTGAGAAACTCAGAAGTTCTCTATCATCAGCCTTACTGACAGAGCCAGCCAGCCAGACATGTGTCCTGGATCACAAATGGAACTTTCAAAATTTTACTTATGAAATTGCAGGTGTCTGGCCTTGTAGAATCTAAGCCCCTCAGTGGATTTATGATAAATTAGGGCTGTATTGCAGGTGTCTGTCCTTGTCTGTCTTAGTCCTTCAAGAGACCAATAGCTCCCAACTGACTAACCGTGTCTAGATATCATTAATCGCATTTTAGACATGTAAAATAATGCACATATTCTTTGTCTTTTCTTTAGATCTCTCAATGGTTTAGTTTTCTCCCTTTGTAACCTGTAGCAGCCCCTTTAAAGGACAGCCTGACCCCCTCACAGCTGCAGCTGCCGTTAGCTACAAACTAGCTGATTTGTTTTGCTCCAAATCTTCAAAGAATACCTGTGTCCCTGAAAATTTTTCCTTGCAGTTTTTTTGTATTACAAACAAGTTGCTAATGAATGAATATATACACTTGGGAATTTCTAAGGGCAGGAGCTATAGACTGAGAAGAAATAAGATGGAGGAAGAGGAGGAGGAGGAGGAGAGAATGTAGAGTAATTAGAACAAGAATGAATTGGAGCAGGGATTTGTAACAGAGACTGGAATTAGAATTAAGACAGAGAATTAGAGTTAAGAAGTTACAGACAATCAGGACAGGAGACCTGGAGCAGAGGCAGTAGGATAAGGAGCACATGAACAGAAAAACCGTGTGAGGGAAGATTCTTTTCCTACGGCCATCAGACTTGAGCGCCTACGCTCACTGCGGCTTCTCTTTCTGAACCCTGAATGAGCGCCTTCAAGGCAGGTCCTTGAAGGTTCCCCATAGTCGATTTGCCTCTCCTTGTTCTTAAGTCTGTCACTCTCCCCTCATAAGTACATGCTTTCCTTTTATTCTTTTCTGGACTGCACACCAGTAGTTCAATCTGTTTTTGTGATTTGTTTCTTTTTGCTTTTTACTATGTAGCCCCACATAACTTGCTTACAGTTTCAATCTCTGATAGGTTACTATCCAGTTCATTTCTATCATGTTGGGGAGCCTGGTGGCATGCAGGCAGGTTCTGGGACAGCAGCAGAAAGTAGAGACAAAGAGACAGAGACTGGCTCTGGAGTGGGCTTCTGAAAGCTCAAAGCCCGCCCCTAGTGACACACCTCCCAACAGTGCCATTCCCCCTAATCCTTCTCTGACAGTTTATCAGTTTGGGACTAAGCACGAAAATATGTGAGCCTGCGGGTGTCAATCTCATTCAAACAGCCACACACTGTTTTGTGTAAGGGATAATGACGTGAAGACGGCTCACACGTGAGTATGGACCTGGCTCAACCTGCAGTCCTGATGGCTGCAGATAAGAAGGGCTGTTACAGCGATGTGTGGTGGTGCACACCTTTAATCCCAGCACTCAGGAGACAGGAGCACGTAGATCTCTGTGAGTTCAAGGCCAACCTGGTCTATAGAGTGAGTTCCAGGACAGCCAGGGCTATTACACAGAGAAACCCTGTTTCAAACCCCCCCCCCCAAAAAAAACAAAACCAAAACCAAAAAAGCACAAAAAGGACTGGCAAGCACCTGTGTCCGCACACTGAAGATTTCACGATGACAGAGTTTACTTTTTATACTTTTCACATTCCCGGAATGAGGCATGACGGCATGGATGACTTTTCAGACTCGGTTACACACTTTTAAGGTACATCTTAAAAGTCAATGGCATTTTAATTTGTGTGGTAGAACAATAATCAAAGAATATATTTGTGTCCCTGACTCTTCGCGGTTTGAAGGCCTTGAGATGTAACAGGAAAATGAGTCCAGCAAAGCTTTGCGTGGGCAGGAGGGAGTAACAGAATTATTTTGGAATTTGGGAGTGGTCTTTTTTTTTTTTTTTGCGAGCACCTCCTCTCTCTCTCTCTCTCTCTCTCTCTCTCTCTCTCTCTCTCTCTCTTTGAGCTAAGATCTCACCATGCAGCCTACACAAACTCCTCTTGCCTTAGTCTCTTGAGTTTTGAGTGAACGTGCAGGCTGCAGGTTCCACGGTGAGCCGCCACACCTGGCAACTGAAATG